CGACGACCGTGTCCAACCATGGTTTCCCTAAAATCCTTAGAGACATCAAAATCTTCTCTGCTACCAATGAGCAGGATCTGTTAGTATTCTGTACATGGGAACAATGGATTCTTAAAGTAAATAAAATGGCATTCAGTACATTTTTATTCAGATTTTAAATTTAAATTTATATTATTGTAATTTCTTTGGTGCTTAGCACAGTGTTTGTCACTGGGAAGTATTCAAAAATCTAAGGGGGGTGCTGGGAGTGGAGCTTGGTGGTAAAGTGCTTGTACGAGGCCCTGTGGTTGGTCCCTGGCACCAAAACCATTTTTTTTTTTTGTAAATTGATAGACAAATGTAAATCTGATACAGTTATATGTTTAATTGCTTTATAAATGTCAGCAGCAAATTCTCAGAAAGTTGAGAGCCAATTCTCAAAAAATTACTTTCTCAGGGCATTCAACAAGTCCACCTCTTAGCTGGGGACATAGCTCAGTGGCACAGTACTTGCCAGGTAAGTGCAAGGTCCGAAAGTCCTGAGTTTAATTTCCAGTAACAACAACAAAAAAAAGAAACCCACCTTTAACACAAAATTGTTAGAGAGATTCTTAAGTTATTCTGGTTGTAATTCCTTCCTAAGTAAGTTGATAACTAAAAGAAATCTAATTTCTCTTCAGAAATTTTTGTTTTGCTTTTCCTCTTCGACTACTTGCTAGCCATTTAAAGGAGAGGGAACACTGCCTGGTAATTCAACTTTCGGTCGGCTGTGTTCGCATCTGCAACCTAGAGATCTCTTGATTTGTCTGCTTGGGTGGACAACCACTTACTCAGTAAAGGGGCAGCTTCCACAGGTGAAGAGAAAGCCTTTCTTTGGTTACAGTTACACGTTCTCTGACACTTTCACTAATGTTTCAAAGAAACCTAGTATCTTGACTGCATAATCTTGACTTTGTCAGGAGACAATTTTTCACGGGTTTCTTGTGCTTTTGTATACATTGTACCAGTTTCATTCCTAAATATTTGTTCAAGAATGTTTTTTATGGCAAATAGTCTTAGAAGATAGTAATATTATCCCTCTCACGTAGAGGATCGATTTGTTGATTAAGCCATCGTTCCATTTTTACAGTAACCTCCACCGTTCAGATTCTCGTCATTGGACCGTTAAAACAACACTGTACCAATTAATGCTGTCCTGACCCTTGTGCCCATTCTAATACTACACACTAGAGACCTGATTCATTAGGTCTGGTGTGTTGCCCAAGAACCTGCATTTTCGAAGGACATAGTACAATAGCAGCCGGGGGCTCATGCGAATGTAGCATGAAACCCACTGTTCTTGAGCAGCCCTTGGACGCCAGCTCCATCTGACTGCAGCTTCTTCCTAACAGCTTCTTTTTTCTTTTTTTTTTTTATTTTAAAGATAAAAGGAGGGAAACATTAACAGACATACAACATTTTACAACATATCACAAGCACAGTACAGACAATACAGAGTTACAAACAAAGTGGTAGGGAATTAACAATGGTTGTTGTATTACATACTGATATCTTTAAAGTGGCTTCTTATGAAAACAGATATAGACATGCAATACTGGTCAACCAAAGATTCATTGAGAGTTTCTTTCAGCATAGAAATAGAAGACAGAAGAACAACCATGTTAACTGTCATGTATACACATACATACAAAATTTCTCCTTCTTTCGCTTCTCTTTTCCCACATCCCAGTTGCCCTTAGCAGCACAATTTGTAATTGCTAAAATGTGGAAGCAACCCAAATGTCCATCCACCGAGGATTGGATAAGAAAATTGTGGTACTTTTATATAATGGAATATTACTCAGCTATAAAGAAAGATAAACTTGAGGCCTTTATATTTAAATGGTCACAACTAGAGACCATACTCATAAGTGAAATAAATCAAACATACATGTGCAAGCATCGCATTGTTTCACTAGTGTAAATCTTGAAAGAGTTAATTAAACTCAGAGGTATGATAGACACTGTGAAATGATAGGAAACCTAACAGCTTCTTTTATGAGAGTCTCTGCTTCTGCCAGACCCCAGGGTATTTTTCCCTAAGCCCACAGTACGCAAGAGCTTTTAAGCTGTGACCAATGAAAGGCCCTCTGTGGTACTTCAGGGCCTTGGAAGCCAGATATCCACACAGTTAGACTGTTTTACTTTGTGTATTTTTAAAAGAAAACTTGTGGGAAAATGCGTTCGTTAAGACACAGAATTATGCTACTGTGATACTGTTTCATCTCACATGCTTTGTACTGCAGCTGATCATGAGCAGATAATTTGTTACTATGTCCTAACATCTAAGATTTACTGATGTGAATTAAAGTGAACTCGGCTTATCACCATGCTTATTGATCTTCTGTGTTAGATGTTACTGGATCTAATTAAGTTGGAAAATATCAAAGAAAATATGACCATGAATGCAGTGGCTTGGAAAGCCTGATCACTTCTAACCACCTTCCAGATGAAAAATATATATCCTCACTGCAATGAAGTGTGTACACTCTGGCTTAAACATCCCTTGCTGAATGTCCAGGTGACCTTTCTCTGTCCTTCATCAAATAGGTGCATCTCTACTGAAGCAAATGGTTGTGATTGCAGGCAAAGTGTCTCAACAGAAGATGAAAAATTAACACCTAATATTTTCTTCATCTTCTTCTCTCTATCTGTGGATGGCATTTGTAATCTTAACTCACACTTATGTTACAGTTTATACCTAGAGGTGCCCCCAAAGCTTCATGCGCTCAAAGATGGGGCTTTGGAAGGTGATTGGATTATGGGACTTCCTGGCTGGCTTGCTCTTAGGAGATGGGGTCTGGTTGAAGAGGTGGATCGTGGGGCCGTGACCTGGAAGGGTTTGTCTCCCTCCCCAGCTCCTCCTTGGGCTCTCTGCCTCTGGACCGCCATGATGTGAGTATCGCTCCTCCGCCATGTCCCTCAGCCATGCTGCCTTGCCTTGGAGCTCTCCAACCGTACAAGAACTGAAATGTCTACGAACTGTGAACCAGAACAAACCTCATTTCCTTTAAATTGGAGTTGTTAGGTATTTTGTCAGAGGCAGGGAAAGTGACTAAGACATCTAGCTTCCCACGCCTGTCTGTGACACAATATGTTTGAAGACAATGAGAAAATGCAGGTTGACCTTTGTGCTCTAAATCCAGCCATTGCTAACTAGTCAAGGACTTCCTGCTAAGCGCCCAGAGGCCATTGTGAATGTTAGATCCACATACGATGACACATATAAAAGTGCAAAACTGCCTCCTAGCAAGGAAGCACTGGCCCCAGCCTCTGAACTCCCTACCTGGCTGTGATATGCTGGCAGATACGAGGCCCATGGACATAGTACAATAGTAACAAAAAGGGCCAGCCAAGGGAGGTCCACACCACCAGTGGGATCACAGCAGGTACTTCTGTTGGTATTAATAGGACTCTTATTGCAGAAAACTTCCTACAGGTCAAATGCCCAACCTAGATATCAGAAGGAATTTGTTGTCCTTAGGATCTAGAAAGATGTGATTCAGCCTCTGCTTCATACTCTGGAATAGCCCAGTGCCCGTCCCAAGGTCTCTGGGACATCTCCAAGGGCAAATATGTTCTGATCCTCTCAGAACCAGTTCCCTGACTTTATTTAACCTTTTGTGCTCCATTCTGCAATTTGTGGCTTTTTGTTTAACTCTTCTCTCATACTTTTACCTGAGTGTGTAACTTAGCTCTCCACTTTTTAAAAATTCTACTCAATGTGTATGACTGTAGAAGGAGTCTTATTGCAACATTTTAAACAAAGTAAAATAGGATATTTTATTAGGCATCCCCACTGTTAAATTTGGTCTAGTTTCTCCTACTTTTCACCCTTCCTTTCTTCTCCATCCCATTTTCTCAGAGGAAAATGAATCAAATACTCTATTCTCACCTCCAATAAATCTCCATTTCAAATCCTCACCTCCTGTCCTTTTGAATCAACCTTCATGAGGTCTCTCAGACTCACTTCTGTCCTATTTTCTGCACGGGTCCCAAGAGTAGCTTTGAAGCGTCTTGTTATTACAGGGCCACCAAATTAGTTTTTAGGTTTGGACCACAGGAGACTTTTCTGTGCTTGACAAAACATGTGTATCTATGTGTGTTTATTGTAAAGGCAATAAAAATCTCATTTGAGTGAGAGTAATTTGAAATTGCTACCTTTGTTTGGACAAATATATAACAAATATTAAGCATTCAGATACCGTTTTGGTGCCTGAATTCCGCTCTCACCCTTCCTTATTGTGGAGTTCTGGCTGAGGACAATACACAAGAGAACTGGAAAGAAAATAGCATCCCTGTTTATTAAACAGGCATCACTTCGCAGTGCACCAGGTATTGTTTAGGAGTGCTCAATCCCGTGCTTACCTTGTGTCCTGAGGCAGAAGCTTTGAGGACTGCATTTCTCAGATGCTCTTGTAACTGATTTCCTGCTAAGTTCTTTTGCGGAGAGGGACCCGCATTCCATGAGAAGGAGGAAGAAGATGGAGCCTTATGACTTCTGGATCCAGCAGCAATAGTGCCATAGATCTGTGAATGCTGCAGGGTGTCAGTGGCAGTAACAGTGATGCAGAAGCAGTGGCTGTGACCCCAGGAGTTGCTGTTCTGCTTCTTAGGACAGAGCAGTGCGCCTCCCTGTAGGTCTTGATCTCTGAGTGACATCATGTCCATCTCCTCTAGGTCTCCAATAATCTGCATTAAAATCTTTTTCATTTTAAAGAACTAGATTATTTTTACTTTTCTGTTTGAATGCTTGATCAATACCTTTTACACAAGATTTTTCTGGGAAATTCAGTTAGAGGACAGGGGACCAATGTATAAATAAGCATTTTGAAAGAAAGATGGGTGGGTCTGTAGAGAAGATTTTAACTAGATTTATCTTCTTAGTCTCAGGAAATGCTGTTAGAACACAGGAAGTGGTGAGCACTTACTCCCGAGAACAGGGACACATAAATGTACAGATTAGACTAAAGAAACAAAATGGAAGAGAAGCACTGAAACGTGACTGCAAGCTGTTTAAGAAGAAGGAGGCTCATCTGCTAACCAAATATAGGCTGATGATCGGTCCTTTGGGCATTCTCTCCTTCTTATGGGAGAAAAAAGTGAGGGGATGCTGCATCCTGCGCAGCTCTTGAAGTTCCCAGCTGGGAAGGATGGCTAGAGGGTGGAGAAAAAAGGATGAGAGACAGAAAGCTGAGGTCAGGTGGAGCCCTCTCTCCAGCTTGGAAGAAAGGAACTGCTCAACCCTCATGGTGCATTTATTTATGTGCACAGGAAGTTGATGTCAATTTCAACCCCTCTGCTTAGCAACTTTGTATGTGAGCCTGAGCACCTCATGCTCTTGGAGCTGGAACAACTTATTTGCATGCCTTGCCTCAGGAGCTCTTTGTTCTCAGACCTGCCTTGCCTCGCCCGGCATGTGTGATCAATTTCCAGCTTCAAGGGGACGTGGATGGAAATATCTAACCTTGCATGGGGAAAGCTGGAAATACCCTTTGCTCTGACTTGTGTTAGAAATCTAGGGAGGTAGGACAACTGTCTTTACTCACAGCTGAAAATTCAGCTCATTCAATTAGTGTAGCGGGGATGAGAAGAGGCCCATGTGTTGAGACACTTACAGCAATGAGCTAATGAAATGTGTACTTCACCAGCTTTCCCTTTATCACCAACACAAAAGCTGGCATGTTTACTGTGCTTCTGAGTTCTTGCCAGGGGGATCCAAGATGCCAAACTAAAGTAAGGCGATACCTCATGTCTGATCATTCTGAAATGCTTTGGAGGACACGCAGCTTTCTCTTGGGAAGAAGATTTGATTTGTAACAGGTAAGATTTTACATCTACTTGTGTTTGACACCAATAGAGTTTTGACTTGACATTGGCTAGAATGCTAATTGCACCAGAAAGGAAAGAAGCCAGACAAGTCTAGAGATCTTGATAAAACCTTGTACACTGGGAATGGTCAGGCTGACAGTGGTTTGAAGCAGGGGGAGATAACTGAGACAGAAGCTCCCCTGAGTTATGTGCTGCTCTATGTGACTACTGGCATTTTCCTGGTATTTCACAGCTGATCACGGGGCTACCACACCAGCTTCCTCCACACAACTAACGATGTATCAGGCAGCCAATGTCCGATTTTTGCTGGTGCGTGCATGTCATGCCATCAGAGAAGTTGTATTTCTTCAACCTCTTTTGGAGACTGTAAACCCTGACCATGGTTTCAAAATGGTGCAGTATTTTTTAGCCAAGCAAAACTTTCCCTGAAAGAATCTTGATTCCCTGTACACAGATGGGGTCCCTGTGATGTTTGGCACCATGCTTGCTCTGCTGTTTTGTGGCATGTTAGTGACTCACTGATGTTGACATCAGCATGTGGTTGCCATCAAAAACCACCTAAAGCCATGAAGGAAATTGTGGTTGTTGTTATGAACAGTGTTAAATTCTTAACTGTGGCATCTTTTCAAGAAGTTTTGTCAGGAAGTGGGAGCCAGGTACAAAGCTTTTCTCTGTTCTATAGTTCACTGGCTTTTCCAAGAACAAATTTTGTAACAAGTGGTTGGATGTCACATAGAAATTCCTTTTCACTGAAAGAAAGAGAAAGTAAGTCTATTGTTAGAATAATTTTGTCACAGGAGTAGTTTATTTACAACTTGACTTACCTGGCAAATATGTGTTGTCCCATGCTCATGGAAAATCTTTTTGTCTTAAGGTTCTGCGGGGACAATAGGGGTGCTACTAAAAAGTACAAGGTCTCTGACAAAGCTGTTGCTGGAGGTGGCCTAGTATGTGAACTTTCTGTTACTGTAGAAATAGAAAAGATGAGGAAATACTGATATGTAGGTTTTTGGCAATATAGTAGGGTTCTTCGTGTTACTTTGCCCAGAAAGCCTTAAAATAGGAATCTGGATTTGCAATTCCTTCCTCGCCAACAAAGATAGCACCAATGAGTCAGACTTTGCTAAAGATATCCTCACTGATGTGAGGACAAAAGAAAACTCAATTCATAGTCATTTAGGACCCTGTGGAATTCTGGTGGTGCTCAACACAGATTTATTCTAATCTGGAAAACTGAGTGATGATAGCTCTGTGTAGTGGATGGACAATGGTGGTCTTCTTGTAACACCCAGCTGGACTAAATCAGCATGGTGCTGGATGTGGAGTGCCCACCTGGGGACTGTTGCCAACAATATAAAAAGGAGAACTGGAGAGGAAGAAGGGAGCTGTTGGTTTTCCTGCAGGAGCTTGCCAGGCTGGCTTTCCTGATATGAACTTGGCTGTTTTCATCATGGAAAAAGCTTGGGACTTTGTTGTCACTGAGAATGGCTATGGTTCACTTTGGGGGAGTCCTGGTCCTCAGTTTCAGCATTGCTTCCTGGTTCCAGAGGGGAGGATGATGCGCTGCTCAGTCTCCTGGAGAAGCTTGTCACACTGGCTTTCTTGATGTGAACTCAGCTGTTCTCATCATCAGAGGAGCCCAAGACCTCACTGTTGCTGAGGATGTCTGTGGTACCTTTTGGGGGAGCTCTGTCCTTACATTGAATGTTGCTTCCTGGCCCCAGTGCAGATCCTTCAGCCTCCTAGCACAGATCCTTCATCCCGCTGGCACAGACTTACTAGATTCCACCACTCACCTTTGGGCTTCCCAGCATATCCTTGAAACAGGCCTGCATGAGACATTGTCGTGGGCTCCTGGCCTCGAGTTGGACTCATGGGGGGCATTGTTATGGGCTCTAGGTCTTCAGCTGGACTCATGCAGGACATTGCCGTGGGATCCAGGCCCTCAGCTGGATTCTTTAGGTCTTTATTGCGGACAGCTTTCCTGCATTCTCTTTGTATATGATTCTTTGGGTGACTATTACAAAATAATCCGATAAATTATGTGTCCTGTATTAAATTGTTTCCCTTCCAAACCCTGACTATAACACTCTCATTCCAGTTACTTTAGGGAAAATACTGTAACATTAAGAACTGGATCAAAAATTTCTTTTAGTAAGAATTGCCTTTTAATTAATCATCTTTTGTGTTTTGATAAGTGCATAAATAGGAATAATTCTGGCACTGTTTATCTTTACCCAAAGGTGGGACTTGATGACTTTGGCCCTCTATACTCCCAACTCACTGTTGGTGTTAAGGGGGCTTTCTTTCTGAGGTACTTTGCAAATCCTAGGATTTTGTAAAAA